GGTAACAAGAAAAAAAAATATATATATATACAGTTAAAAGATATACCTGAACAACAACTGCAGGATTAAAATTTAAATTTCTGTTTCGCATAAGTCGTTGTTGTCGCAGTTCCCACATATCATCGAAATATCGATGACAGGCGAGGACGACACTGAGAACCCAGGTTTCAAAAAAATCTCCAATTATATACAGAATAAGTGAAAAAAATGCTCGTTGACGAACTACTGAAATGTGTTAAATTGAAAATCAGAAAAAAAAAAACAGATACAGATATTTAAAGATAATTTACACTCTGCTGCTGCTGTTGCTGCTGTTGTTGTTGTTGTCTACAATTTTTAAAACACTTTTTTTGAATGCAAAATTTTTTCGATGAAAAGCTGTGAACAAATCAAATTCTTTAAAAGAATAAAATAACAAGCATTTTTATTGCTTTATTCATCGTCTGTCTTTCAATAAATGTGCTACAAATTGTACAAGTTTTTTTTTAAATTTATTACTCATATTTATTCATATTCTAAACATAGATTTTTAAGTTGCCAGAAAATAAAGTACATTTTTTAAGGTTAAATAAAATGTTGACTAAATTATTCACCAAAGAAGACAGAAAACTTTCTTTCTTTAGCAAATTTTTTTGCAGAAGCGACAGCAATTGTTGTTGAAAAGTGCCATCAAAAAATAATTCCTCGAAACTATTTTTCGTAATATACGTTACCTTAATTCACAGCTTTCTAAAAGTGAAAAGAACAAAAAAGAATAAAAATTTTGTTAAAAAATAAAGTATAACCTTTGTTAGTTGTATGCCCACGTTCACCTTCGAACAGATAACGGTACGGAAATGATGGAAACAGAACTGCTGTTGCCGAAATTAGTGTTAGCAATAAGCATAAAATAATAACTAAAAACTGAAAAACAAAAATTTAAATATTTAACTTTTTTTTTCTTTTTTGTTTTGGTATTTATAAACTATTGATTAACTGGTATTAGCCATTCAACGAATTACTAGTGTTTTATATATTACTGTAAGAGTGATGACAGAACAGTTCAGTTACAAAAGCTGTACAATTCAGTTGTTAAAGGTTAGTGGAACAGAATTTATAGCTAAAAAAAATGATCAAAATCAAAAAATGCTTACATACAAACTTATAGTTCAGTATGTAAATTTTTGTAAATATCTTTGGTTATTTTAGTGCACAAAAATAGGCAATTTATTGTCAGAACTGTTTACTAAGAATGTTTGTTTTTTTTTCATTTTCTTTTTTATTTTCTAAACTTTTTTTTTTTTCTGCAATAAACGTCACCTGAGTGAACAAAAATGGCCATAGAAAAATTGAACGTTCTGTACGTATTCCAGCTATAAGACTGACTAATGATAACACTTCGCATATCTCAAAAAAATAATGCGTCGAACTTTTAATATAATACCTGAAAAAAAAAAAGTTTCTTTTTTTTTTATTGTAACAGGAAGAGATAATACCAAAAAGAAAAAGAACAGAAGAGAAGTGAAAAAACAATCTTATGATATTAAACTATCGTTGTTAGTTAATCATAAACAAAGGTTAAACGAAATGAACAGCGTCATTTTATCCGTGGTTATCTTCTTTACTTTTCTGTATAAACTTTTTCTGCATTATTCAACTATGAACTGCTTCGTTCTGTTAGTTTTCAGTGTAACAGTAGTTGCCAAAAAAAAATTAAACATCAAAAATTTATTTGATAAAAAAGCGGTAAACAGAAAAAAAAAATCTGTTATTATTTTTAAAAATTCTTTTCTACACTATATCAATCACCAATAAAGTTAGTGCCAATGATGACGATAAATCCCGTTTATTCTCGAAAGTCTCAAACTGTTGATTTTTAAATTTTAGAAAAAGCACAAGTAAAAAAGAAATCGTCGACAACTGGCTCTATTTTTTTTTTCAATGCTAATTCTTACACCACTAATTAGCCAAAAGTTCAATGAACAAAGCATCAAATAATAGAATAACAACAAGAAAAACAAAATACCTACTTGTCAGTTACATAGATAATCGTCTCAAACAGTTCAGCTACTACGAGAACACATGTTATTATCACTAATGCTACCTGAAAATGATCGTATTTAAGATTAGTTTTTCAAATTTTCTTGTTTGATTTAAAGTTTTCAAATGAGAAACAAAATGCATAAAACAAATCTCAGGGTAAATGCAATAGTTGCCAAAACAGTATTTTGGTGGTTGTTATCCAAAACACATTTACTGTCAAAATCGATGACAAAAAGAAACAATTACTTTAACGTGTATTCGTTGAAAGCAGCAGTAGTAATTTAGATTACTGGTCGCTTTTGGTGGTAAACGAAACATTTAGCCAACCCGTCTGTTGATCCTAAACATAAAAGAAAGTTAGAAAGGGAAAACACAAAATGTTTCGAACACTATTGCAACGAAATTTTTATTATCAAAATATTGCAAAAGATTTTCGATAAATGATAACAACAGAAATAAATTCCAACTGTTATAAAAAACGTTAATTTGTTGTCGGAAAGGAAAAGCAACAATTACTTTTTTAGAAATTCTACAAACAGCGATAAATAAACAGATGTGAAGTTACAAACAACCAAAAAAAAAGTTGTCAAAAACTTTTCTTTAATTTTGCCTAATTATTCGAATACAAAGTTTAAAAAATTTTACCTGTAAATTTAAACATTAGTCTTAGCTATAAAATGTAGATTTTCATTAACCTGTTTAATGAGCATTCACAAAGATATATCTTTTACTTCGCAATTTTTTTTCTGTTTTTTTTTTCTTCGTTTCTTACATAAATCGACTAGTTTTAAATATATAATTGGTGTTGAACAACAAAATATAGTTCAACGAGCAACTGCTTAGACAAACACTGTTGGGTAAAAGTTTATTGTAACATAAAACCTGACTTAGTGTTCCCCTTCCCT